TCCACAGGTGTATCACACGCAAATCTGTTGGAAGTGCATCAGTCTTATGCACACCCAACCTGTGTTTTTTGAAGGTGCTGTCCTCTAGAGAATATTCTCTCTATCTGGTTGGAGGTGAAGAACTGGGTGAGCAAAATCCCAGATCATAAGTTATATATGAAGTGTATTTATTTCATTTTAGAAGTAAAAACATTAGCTAATTTCACTGTCAGTAACTGGAAAGCACTGTTACTATTGTTCTGTTAGTGTTATCTGTTAGGATATAAAGTCAATTTGTTGACCTGGGCACAGTGCAAAGCTCATTCATTTAAAGGAGTTTTGGTGAATGACTGAGGCAGTTAAAGGTAGTGTTAGTAAAGAGTAAGTAAACAAATGTGATGAGCTGGTTCTATGCCTATGTATTGATCATGTGGCTGATGATCAAATAAGGTTTGGTAGGAGGAGAGGAAGAAATGCAAGAGCTGCTCCTCTCCTCTCGTCTTTGTTTACATCTCTTATGCTTTTATCTGGGCATGCGTATCATTCATACCTAGAGCTCTGGCTGGCTACCTTCTAGTATGGCACTTGTCAGACCAAACTGCAGGGTGATAAACATGACTGAGCATAATGATCCCAAAGGAGATTCTAATAGAAGAACGTCCTTGATCATTGGAAATCCCTTTTATCGTTTTTCAAGGGGGCTCCTGATAACTGATCCCAAATAACTTGAGACCAAAAATGGCATCAAATAGTGCTTCCAAAGAAGTTGGTGTATGTGTTATGCCTGTAGCTGGAGATGGCCATTAAGAAGGATTAATTTGATGCAAAACACTTGACTAAATGGATTGTTTATAAACTATGGTGTCTTTCATCTTGAGATGAATGGTTCTAATGCAGAATAGCTTAGTTACTGACTGTGCCATCTGTTGAAGTTGTGTGGCTTTTTCCAGTGAATCAGTTTTTTCCACAAACATCCTTGTGGGCAGAGAGTCACATTACAATGGGCAGTTTCACCATATGGAAAAGATTATGTCATCGGCGTGGTTTCTGCTGGACAGGGTAACTTAAGAGTATGTCAGCGGGGAAGTATGGGGAGGTGCCTAATACTACAGCTGCCCATGCCATTACTTGCTACAGATAAATAGAATACTTCACGTATCTAATGTTGGGAATTTGGCTCCGCCAGTGACACCACCCACTCACCAAGGGCATGAGTCAGAAGGAGGGAGAGCCATACACTGAAAAAATCCACAACAGGAACAAGCACAGAAAGTGAAAACCCAAACCCCTGCATAAGAGTGAAAACATCATGTTGGGGCAGGATCAGAACACTAATAATCCTGGGATTTTACAAGTGTTGCTGTACTCTAACTGTCCTTTCCCCTGTTTTTCACTTCTCAATCACAAGATGCTAGGCAAGATTTTTAAAGGAAACCAGTGATTTTGGCTGCCTTGGTTTTTGGGTGGCCAAATCAAGGTGCTTTAAATTCTATTTTCAACAAGGACTAAGCACAGTATGTCCTGGATTTCAGGGGCTTCTGCACCTCTCCCACCCCACTCCACATGTAGAGGTTGAATAGATAGTTTGTACCCCAGAGTCAAGAAGCCATCTCCATATCTTGAGCTGTTTTAGGGACTAGAATAGCCCAATTACAATAAGCTCTGCAGGTTGCCTAATGGTTGGCAGCACAGCCTGGAATCTGCTTGCTGTGGACCTCTCCCAATTCACCCTTTTAGCCCACAGTGGAGCTGGCAACAACCCCAGTGAGACGGCTTGCAAGAAGGTCTTTGGAAAGTAGTCTTGCAGCTAACTAGTTTAGTGTTTGAAATGGGGGAATCCTTCCAGAACAAGGGCTTTGAGAACCCTATTGGAGTCTTCTGGCCCCTCATTTATTTATTATCACAAACTTCTCTGCTGTAACTGCAGTCTCTTTACATAACTTACACAAACCTGCCAAAAGACAGGGCACTAATGTGTAAAAAACCACGATCGTTTGAAAAATTGAAGTCTGACTATACAGTCATATCATTTTCTGGGTGCATCTTTCTGCCTTTTATTTTAATCTCTTCTTTCTTTCTTTCAAGGTGTTCTATTGATCTTGGCACTGACAGAAGAACTGGTGTTTGCTGTTCAGGTACTGTCTCCCAGTATATCATCATCTCAGGGTCTCCTGATGGACACTACCACTATGACAGCTATGGGGACGACACCTCAACACAAAGACCTTCATACAAGAGAGCCCATTCCTACTCATGCAATTCCTCATTCCATCAACCCAATGGAGAACCCTACCCCTTCCATTGGCCAAAATCCAGCAACCAGCAGCCATCGTGGTGGCAAAAAGGAAACGTACCATTTATATAACCAGAGTGCTTTGTATTCAGGACAGACTCACCCTAAGGGGAAAATATTTCAGATTTTCAAAGGCAACTTTACAGAATCTTCAGAGCCTTACCTAAAGACAGCACTGCATTCTCCCTTCCCTACTTTGAGAAGCCCATTCACAAACCACCGATTTCAGTCTCAGACAGCAACCTTCAGTGATCCCAAAAGCAGTGAGCCGGCAACTACTACAGATTTAGACTCTTCTCTCCACAATGACACTTTGGAAGGCCTTAATAAAGCAGAGCAAGGGAATGGAACACAGCTAGTTATGCAGAAAACAAATTTCACTACCCCAACAGCGAGACCGTTGCCTGATCCTGAAACAGTGTCAGTGCCTTTTAAACCCACATACTATGACATATGGGATATCCTGAAAAATAACTCTTGGGTAACCTTGAATGCAGGTACAAGTGTACCTTTATTCACCAGTCCCGGAACTGAACCAGCAGCAGCATCGGGTCAGTCTGTTCAGGCTGGTATTGATGTCAGTGTTTCATCACCTGCAATGGGAAACCCTAAAGGAACTTCCACAACACAGCAGGCCACGACTAATTCGACTGCATTCATTGGCGTTGTCTCCACAGCCCCTACCACAAGATTGTCCAGCTCCATATCAACCGCGGGCTCCACAGCAACAGGAAACTTCCTAAACAGACTGGTGCCTGCTGGAACATGGAAGCCTGGTGTGCCAGGCAATATTTCTCATGTCACTGAGGGAGATAAACCCCAGCACAGAGCAACCATTTGTCTTAGCAAGATGGACATTGCCTGGATCATTCTGGCTATCAGTGTACCTATATCCTCATGTTGTAAGTTAATTTCTTCTTGTTTTTCTTTTTCTTCCCTTGAAACACAAAATATGTTTCAGCTCACTGAAGTACTATGGGGAGAACTTAGCATTTGCAGAACTGTGTAACAAATTCCTATGAGCTAGATGAGAAACCATTATTAGATAACTAACATAACATTCACTGACCTAAGAAACCAGAACTAGAATTCTGGATTTTCCGCTCCTAAACAAAGGTCGCTAGCTCTTAAGTTACACTTTATTTTTTTGGTATGTTATCCTCTGTAGGCTATCCCCTGAAGTTACTCAGGCACTCATGCTAAATCTCTACATTGATACAGAGCAAAGTAATGTTACTTGAAAATACCTAAAATAGGAATCAATAGTTACACAGGACCAGAGTCTGGGAATTGTTTTATTCAGTCCTGGACCAACCCTTAAATTCTGCTTGATTGAAAGGTTAATGATAAATTAAGGACTACCATTCAAAGCACTAGTTTTCCAATGGTAGAGAGTAGGAATCACAGGCAGTTTGTGAGCCTACTAGACTTAACCATCACATTATTCTGATTGCTCTCTTACACTTTCCTCCACCTAAATTTTCACATGAATGTTCTCTAGACTGCAGTAGTTAAAGCTAAATGTAAAAAACGTTTTGTATTGTTTAAGACAATCCACACTACAGGTACAACCTGTATCCATAACCAGTGTGTGACTGACTTAGAGTAAATATGGTTGAATTCTGTACTCCTAATTCTTTTTTCATGGAGCAGCTATGTGGGGAAAAAAAAAGTGTGTGTCCATTGCCTGTGTTCATATTGGTGTATTCTGGAACTAGTTAATACCTCAAGTGGAGTTAGAAAGCAGCAGCATGCAAGATGAACTCTGAGGTATCCCACTGCATGAAACAGGTGAGATGAAAGATGATTCACCAAAACGGTTATGCAGGCCTGGTTACATGCAACTATTTACAATGCAATAAGCAGAAGGTTACCAGAACATGTGCATTTGTTAGCAGAGGATGCTAAACATAGTGGATATAGATATACATTAGTGGTGTTTCATATTAATCATGGAAAAATGTGGATTTTGGGTTACATTTTTTAATTTGAAAATTGGGAATTTTTTTTTTATCAGAGAAAACCAGGATCCCTGGTCACAAGTTATATTTAGATCCCATCATTTCACTAATTACAAACATGGTAAAAACTACTATTGTAAACAAGGTCTAACATGATTTTAGGGTTAAGATTTTGCAACTGATAAAGCTAGAAATACTTCTGTGGTCTGGACCAAAAAATATTTCCAAGCCACTGTTTTGGAACAGTAATGACAAAGAAAGTAATTTTAAAACACCTTGATCATGATGCGTCTGAATGCTCAGGGCAAGTGCAATATACAGGGTCTTCATAAAGTCCTTGTGCACTTTTAAACTTTAATAACTTAGGTTGTAGGTAAGATAGAAACAATCTGTAAATGGCATTTAAAGCAAATTTATTAAAGTTTTAGGACAACTAGAGTACACAATGCTAGACTTCCATATAACCATCATCCATCATGATACAGTGCTCAGTCCAATCTTCCAACTCCTTGAAAATGTTTCCCAGTTGCTCTTGAGTTACTGCACTAATTGCATTGGTGATTCTAGCCCTAAGTTCTACCAAAGCACATGGTTTTGACAAGTAAACTACACTTTTAACATGTCCCCATAAAAAGAAGTCCAACAGCGACAGGTCGGGTGAACGAGGCAGCCAAGCAATTGGTCCACCTCTGCCTATCCACTTTTCTGTGAAAACGTCATTTAGGAACCGTCGTACATTCAGAGGATAGTGGCACAGAGCTCCATCTTATTTAAGAATAAGTTTGTTATTAGTTATGAAATCTAGCATTGTGTACTCTAGGTGACCTAAAACTTTAATAAATTGGCTTTTAAATACCATTTACAGATTGTTTCTATCATACCTACAACCTAAGTTATTAAAGTTTAAAAGTACACAAGGACTTTATGAAGACCCTGAACAACAGCATAAATAATAATAATAATATAGAGGCTTTTTTTTTTTTTGAAACACACCTCATTTACAATCAAGTGGTTGTGGGTTATTGGGTTTTTTGTATTTTGCTTCATGTACTGTAATACAAAAGTCTCAAGTACTCTGACTGGCCAAAGTTCTTATTGGTAGTGTAGAACTTTCAAATGCAGACAAATTATTCAGATTTCTAAGTACCGTTTTCTAAAGCTACTTGCCAATATTTTTAAAGGGTTTCAGTGGGAATTTGAGTCCTGAATGCCTTCAAAATTCGTAGGCATTAAGGTCGCATGCACATGAGCAGTAATGTGAGTG